TGCTTTCGTGAACGACATTATTTTTTCGAAGATAAATTCTCATTTTTGGTTACAGTTTCCCCAAATTTACGATTGCCGACAATTATATTATGTTTCAATAAAATAGTATTGACATTTTTGTGCGAATGCCAAGTAGCGCGGATCGGTGGGTCACAGAATTAGTAAACTAAGCCGATTTTGGCGCCTCAACCCACGGTCTATAGGGGTTATTTGATCTCATGGTTTCCGAAAATCGCTGATAAAAGATCATGAGAAATTCGTTGGCGCTTCATTTTGACCGTGGTGATGTGATGATGAATTTTACTATATAAATAAGAGTGTCATTTCCTGCCATCAAGAGAGTACCGTACTATTCCTCAAATTTTCGCGCCTCAGCCTAACCCAACCATAGTGGGGCTGAGGTGGGTGTGGTCTCACGGATGACCCCCCCCCCCCCCCCCCCCCCCGGATGACCCCCCCCCCCCCCCCCACCAGATCTGCGTCCTGTGCGGCGATGTGTGTTTTGCCCTAAAGATAAAGATGATTGGAAACAAAATTGAAATCCAATGCTAGCATCTGAACATATTTTAACGTAACTTCTGACAAGGCTATATACATTTTGATAATTTTAAAAACCCGTCGTCACTGTGTCTTCAATGAACAGACACTCACACGTCACCCAATGAAGTACACAGTATAATAGAAAAACAATCTGTAAGTGTAATGACTAAAAAAGTAAACCCACAAGTAGCATTTTAGGAATGTTATTTACCAGTCAAACAGTGGCCTAGACTGTATATACATATAGGCCTATAGATTACACACACACACACACATTACTTTCGTTTCGTTAGTAAAGCAGAGCAACCTATATTTAGGTATATCCTGTTTGTATAATATAGGATCTGTGATAAAATCATGGCTGAGTACATACTCAAGTGACATTATTATGCTCTCTTTTTGTGTACTATCAAACAGATAGACATAACGAAAGCCAGAAAAAAAAAAAGAAAAGAAGAATAGGCCTAGGTAGGGATCATGCGACGTTCGAAGCACGGAGAGGGGATGAGAGGGGAATGGTAATTGAATTTTTTGTTTAGAAATGGTTGACCATGATGACACCCGCCGGAAATGGAATAAAAGTAGGCCGTAACTGTGCTCCCCTTTTCTCCATTCTTTTTTTTTCTTCTCTCCTTTTATTTTTTGCTTGTAGGGGCTTAGGGGGTTATCCCCTGATAATAACACTAAAATATGAAAATTACAAGAAAAGATGAAAAAAAAACGCTGTGTCGACTTACCACCGATGAAGCACACGGCGGATGAATATTTTCATTGTGTCCTCCGTCCCAAAACTTTTCTGTCATTCTTAGTGCGAAACATGGAGACGTCAGATGGGTTATCACTGCGTGTGCAATACTTGGATGATACTGACCCATTTGCAAGTACAATATTTCCTGAACCTACTCGCCCACCGTGCTATGGTTTTAATGAATTTATTCCATTGATTGACCAGATAGGAGGAATTCACAGACTGTTAAATGCACCGCATAAGGTAAGTACCTACTTGAGCTTACTGAGTAGGCTACAGACAGCGTCACAGCGCCATGTGTAACTAAGCCAGAGTCACACAGTCTAGGCTAGCCCAGGTACAAAACCCAGTGCATGGTTGTCATTGGTTGGGTAATCCCAGTCGGCTTACCACCTCCTTCTTTCCTTGGTGGGCTTGCGGTGAATGCCTACAGCAGGTAACTTGTTTAATGCTGCGAGTTGGTTTATGCATGGAGGCATAAACCAATTCCTCCATGGTTTATGTAATTACATTGGAAAATACACTACTCTAAAATAAATTCTAATTGCTCTGGCCTTGGCAAGGCTCGTGGAGGCCTAACCTGGTCCTAGGCCTAGTGTCATACACTAGGCCTACAGAGTATTATAGCCTAGGCCTCCCTGCTTAGGCCTAGGGCACAGAGAAAAATTTATTAGATTATCACTCCCGCCCGCATCAAGCATTTTGGAAGTATTGATCGGGAATAATTATATTTTTTTCGTTTATAATAATTATTATTATTATTATTTTTTTTAGTCGCATCATTGCAACAAAAACAACTTTGCAAAAAACAAGTGCTTACAAAATATAAAGGAATTGGCTCCAAATTTGACAAACTTCAAACTCATCCAATTGATTTCTGTACAGTAGATTCATAAGTATTCATAAAAATTTTTTCTTTATCCATTGTCATCTCCAAAACTTAGAAATACCGGGTTGGTGACCGACGGGGATTTCACTGTTAGTTAAGATATTATGTTTTGTTTTCTTTAATTTATTTTGTTTTCTAATTATGTATGGCCTTGCACGGCCTTGATAAAAAAACACCCATGGGTGATTCAAGTGTCTCCGTGTTTAAATAAAGTATTATTATTATTATTATTACATTGAGATCGCTGTAAAGTTGAAAATGCAAAGCCCGTTCTTTAAAACTTGTTGTTTACTGTTGCTAAAAATAAACAGCTTGCTAACTGCGGCTATAAATAGACAACACTGTGGTCCGTCCCTATTTATAAAGATACCCGTGGGCTGATTGAAACGTTAATTCACAGCGTGAAGACTCGCGTGTTCCATAGCTAAATATAGGCAACATCGCGCCCAGTGGGCTGACCGAAGTTGATTCACAGCATGAAGACTCACATGTTCTATAGAGACTCTTGCTGCTAAAAATAACTTAATACATCATGCATTACAAGTGGGTGGTCTTTCTTGTGATGGGTGTGTTTGGTTGGATTGGTTGTTGTTGGGCAAAAACTAACCTACTACATCAAGAAAGAAAGTTTAGCTCGAGGTAATGACCAAAGCCTAGGTGCCTATGCCTACTATTACTAACTATAATTAGGGTGTTCCCTTCCCTTTGATGCTTGAGTAATGTCTCATTTTTTCACTGGAATAGGCCTTGTTTTGGATTGGCCATTGAATCACAGTGCAGTTGTTTAGATGCATCTACCACTTCGAAAAACGATGTCATGTCAATGCCGATGTAAATGGCGGCGTCGCCAACGAAAAATATCGCCGATGTGAACATTTTAGGCCTATCCCAGGCTAACTCAGGCCTGTGCTGGTACTAGTTGTACCAGTTGTGGTAGACATGACAGGATCGCTGTTAACACAAAATTAAACTGTTCTTTTATGGTGTATTATGAGTAAAATGTGAATAAAATCAAACTGGATTATGTGTTTCATGCTTTTATATTGTTTTCACCTGCATTTTCGGTCTGACATTTTTTTTCTAAACAACACATTGTTTGTGTAAACATTAGGTCGTGCCTCCTAAACTCTGCCTGCTAATTGGTTAATTTTTTCGTGGAGTTGTGGATGGGCAAAATGTGCTTGGCTGTGGTGACGTCAGATCGCCCAAGGTTTCTTAGTGCGTGACAGCTTGCAGACAGAAACAAGCTCAGTGTTATCAGATTAATTTTTAATTAAACAGATTTATTAAAACAAATAAGAAATCCTCGTTTTGTTTTACAGTCAAATCTAAAAAATTTAAATTTCGTTCTCTACAAATTTCCTCCGTAATTAGCAGTTCATGTTTTTGAGGAATGAGTGAAGCTATGCATTTGTAGTTTACACTGTCGAATCTACGACATCCAAATCCGAATTAAACGTCTACTGAAAAATAGTCAGCCGTTGTAGAAACTTTCATTTCAGGTTGATTGCAATTGATTTTTAAGGATTAGGCAAGGCGATAATGCACTTTATAAACAATGTAAAGGAATAATTTTAATTTATCTAACATTAACGTTTAGGCCTACCGGCGTGTCGTTTTAATTAATAGATAATCTCTATAGCAACGCTATTGGGACTGAGCTAGCTATACGATGCGTTGTAACCGTTGCGACGGTTCATTCAGGGTGTTGTAACAGATAGCGATGATTATTGCGTTATTTCATCTGGAAAATTGTTTTTATAGTTATTAACTGTTTGTTTGGTTGAAAAGTTGATTTTTATGTTCCAGACCGAATTTAAACGTCCAGAATTTGGAATAGGGAGATCTGGTTTTCAGAATGTATTAAGGAGGAATAGGAATGGTTTTGGGACTTAAAAAACGTTCGCCGTTTACATTAGTGTGAAATTCGGAATTCGGATATTCCACTGTATTTTATTTTCGTAGTTTCAATTTATTCATCACCATAAAATAAACATTGTTCAACATTTTATCAATAATTAGTTGTGATTTGAACATCAGTACATAGCTAGGCTTTCCAGCTTAATTGGGGACTTGAAAAGACATCCATCATTGCTACAACAGGTTAGCATGGGTTGATTTCAGGGCTGTAGGCTGAAACTAAAAAAACTATGACTTTTATAAAGTCATTTTTTTCACTGAGCCTGTTCACATGGCCTGTCAGATGGCATGTTTATGTTGTGGTTTTATATGGAACGCCTAAAGACCAACATTATTCGTATACTTCCCCGTTTGGGTTTTATATGGATTGCCAAAAGGGCAACAATCAAACAGTCGATTTTCAAGCACACTCGGTTTTCAGGCACAGTTGGTTTTCGGCTTCTCAATGAGTTATAGTCAACCATTGCTTTATCTGCCCTTCACCAATGCTGTCTCATCTCATTTTAGTGGTCTGTAAATATTTTTAGGTCATGAAAAATGATAGGAAACTGTTATCAAAACTTGTATCTGAACTATCACTGAATTTCTGACATTACGTAAAGAAAATAATTGAGCGAGATAACATGCAACATATCTTCCTTTAGAGGTCCTATAGTGAAGCATTTATTTAGGCCTATACCTGATGTGTAAGTATAGTATTCATTTTCCTAATATTCAAATGCAAAGAATTAACTTTTCAGGGTAAACCACCACAACACAAAATCTACCCAACCTCATATTGCCTGAAAATAAAACATGCATCATGCATAGGAACGTTGACGCTCGCAGGGTTCTGATTTTATCGAAACTAATCACGACGTTCACATACTGGAATGGGATAAGCGAACGCACCATCAAGTACAGTAGAAACCCTAATTTACGAACCCCGATTTAACGAATTTCCGATTTTACGAACGTAAAATAAAGGTGATAACGTCTTAAAAATTTAAGTGAAAGATTAAAAAAAAATAATGTTATTAGCATGCATAGAACACAACACACCATACTATACAGTACTATGTAATTCTCAAGTGAAGGAGGCCCTCTAACAGGCCTCTTCAAAGTCAGTGTTTTTTATGACTTCACACATGTGCATGCGACAAATTTTACTTCTCTTTCAAACATCGTTTTCAGCTTTAAAATTCAACATAGTGCTTGATTGTTTTATTGAATGATCAATATATATAATAAACAAGTATCTATGGAAGTTGTGTTGGAGTAAAATCCACAATCTAGGTATTTAAGAAGGTAAAAATGTCCGATAAAACAAATTTGTGTAGGGCCGAGAGTGGGATCAGAATGCTTAGAAGCTGCCTACTGTAGGACTAGGCCCCCTCAGACTTAGCTGCGTAAGCCTGTAGGCCTAGCCTAGGCCTAGTGTATGCTAGTGTAAGTAGTACCAGTGCAAATATATAGGAATTTGGGTAAACCCCAATTTTACGAATACCCGCACAGGGCTTGCCCTAACTTTTTTTGGTAACTAGCCCACTGGGCTAGTTTACTAGAGATTTTACTAGCCCACAGAATATTTTACTAGCCCACAGACAGGACAAAACTTTGT